AGTAACAGGAATCAATAATACTGTATTAGCTCACTAATCTGGACTATATGGGAGCCGGTGGCTGAGCAGACAGAACACTGGACACACAATCCTGTGGTCCTGGGTTCGATCCAGGGCGCCAGCAAGAAACAATGGGCAGAGTTTCTTTCACCCTGATGCTCCTGTTACCTAGCAGTTTAGTTAGGTAACTAAACAGTTACCTAACTGTTTAGGAATTGTTTCTTGGAGAAACAATCCTGAACCGAAGGGGCCACAACAAACCGAGGAGAAGATAAGAGAGCACTCTGTCCAATGACCAGGATGGTTCCGGCGACGCATGAACAGGCTGGAGGTGAAACAACGCCCGAGACAGCTTGCGAAAAGGTGCAGAAGTAACATCAATACCGAAAGCAAGCTGAAGCGGCTCCGCCAGCGCCGCACGGTATGAGGCGACAGTGTTAGGCATAAGGTGACTGTCCTGGAACAACCAAGAGAAAGGACAACACCACCCTAACAGAAAGCAAAGAACAACGACGAAGACACAAGAAGAAACGGAAGGACCGCCAGGAAACTTTGTACTGCCCCTCGAGATGAAACCCACAGATGGGACACTAACAAGGAAGCAACCTGATCACCATAGAGATGATGATAAATTTGAGTCAAAAATACCATACGCGAATCTGCTGGAATCTGTTCCGGTCCGATCTGCTGGAAACCGGAGCCACGGGAAAACCTCCGGGATCAGACACCGAGTAAGCAGCACCTGAAACCACGGCGCCAAGAGGACAACTCTCCCCTGGTAAGTCTCCAAGCGAATCAGGACCTGGAGCAACAGCTGAACTGGGGAAAAGTGGTACAGGAACCCCAACCTCGACCAGTCCTGCCGAAAGTCATCGACCCCGACGGCCTCGCAGACAGAGAAGGGCGCCACATACAGGGAAAGGCACAGCGGCCACGCCGACGCAAAGAGGTCCACCTCGGGGCGACTGAATGTCTGGCAGAGCCAACTGAACGAGTCGGCGTCGACCATCCATTCCGTGGAGAGGGGAACGAAACGAGAAAGGCTGTCGGCCAAGACTTTGGACACGCCCTGCACATGATCTGCCAGGAGAGCCAAACCCCGAGAACTCAGCCGACAAGTCACCTGAAGCGACCAGCGCCAAAGAGCCAAGGACCGCATCGAATCCCCCGTTTCAGACAATGAACCACCGGGGAGCAGGATCATCGATCCGCAGGTGACCCAAACCCTCTAAAGAGCAAACCACACCGCCGCAAACTCCCGCACTGTGCTGTGAACTCGACGGGAGGACAGACCCCACCATTCCTGGCCGACCTGGTAAGCACTGGTCACAAAACCCCAGCCGAGAGACGACGCATCCGTGAACCCATCGAGCGAGGGCTCGGGTAGGCGCCATGGCACTGAACTCTGAAAAAACAAAGAGAAAGCCGGCGAAGCAGCAGTCGACGGTAAGCCCATGGGGTCCAAACCCAGCGATCACGAGAGAGGTGGAAGGGACGTCCCTGAAGGAACCAAAACAGCCGACGAAGCCAAACCTGACCTGGTGAGTAAACCATCATCGTGAAGTTCAGGCTCCTGCACAGACCCGTGAGCAACTGCCGGGTGACCGGGAGCCCTCCAGAAACAGGCGCAAGCAGGACCGCATATGTAGGAGAGACTCTGGAGGGAGAGCCAAGGAAGCGATCCGTATGAGAGCCCCACACAAGACCCAGCCATGTCTGAACCTGGGAGGGAACCAAATGAGACTTCCTCCAGTTCACCAAGAACCTGAACCCGGCGAGCTGAGAAAGAACCAAATCCCTGGCTAGCAGACAACTGGACCGGCTGGGAGCCCAAACCAGCTAGTCGTCGAGGTAGGCCAACACCCGAACACCTAAGAGACGCAGACGGGCCACAATGACCTGTGTAAGGCGTGTGAACACGCAAGGTGCCAGGTTCAACCCAAATGGGAGACAACAAAAGTGGTAACCAACAACAAACCCGAGCCAGTCCCTGAACCCTGAATGAATCGGGATGTGCCAATAAGCGTCCCGGAGGTCCAGGGACAGCATCCAAGCGCGCAGCTCATCCAGGAGTCGAACCTGGGACAGCGTAGTCATCCGAAAGGAGGGGCAAGAAACCCAGGGGTTCAGACGGGACTAGTCCAGAATGAACCGCCGATTTTCACAGTCTCATTTCGGTACTGGGAACAGCCAGGAAACCCACCTGAGGGACGACGTCGTTTCGACCATGCCCAAGAGAACCCACTCCAAGAGGACCCGAGAGAGTGCAGGGAAAGTGGCCTGCCCCGCCAGCCCCAAACCTCCCGAAGAAGGAGGGGCCACCCAACGCAACCGCAGGCCGAAAGAAACAACCGCCTGCCGACGCGCGAGCCGGGAAGCATACAACAGGGAAACCGCATCCCGCAGGATCGGTGCAAACAGCTTCAGCAAAGCAGCCGACAAGCGGTCCACCGAGCCCAAGGCACTGGATCCAGGGATGGCCCTGAGCGCCCCTACCTTCTCCTCAAGCCAGTCCAAAGACAGTTCTGGGAGGGAAAAACTAACGCAAGGCTGCAACCAAAAGGCCACGGGCGCTCGTGTCCTCAGCAACCTGCGCAGTCGAGAGGGAGAGAACCTGCATATGAAGCTGCACCACGGCCATATCCCGAAGAAGGCAGAGGCAAACAAGCACTCATTGAGGTGCTCCAGGTCACTCCCAGGGAAACCTGAAACACTGTCACAGCCTTGCACCACTCAAGCAGGTAGGTAAGGCATTACCTGCACTCAAGCGTGCAGGTAAGGCAGAATGAATGCCAAGCCTCCAACGCAAAGATGACAGTCCGCCAGCCAGGATGACTCGGGAACCTCGTAACGGACCCAGAAAGGGAACAAAGTCCCAAACCTAAACAGAGATGGATCCATCACCGAGGCATAATCCGGGTCACGCAGGAGGTAAGCCACAAGGGCTGCCCACACCACAGAAGGTTGGATACGAGAAGCCAAAAACCTCCGGAAGGACGGAACCAACGCACCCAGGGGGACACGGAACCGAACCCGGGGAGGGGCAGACACCACATCCAAATCGTATGCAGAGGGGGGAAAAAAGAGAACCCCATTCCTTGTAACAACAAGCCCCGGTCAGAGGGTAGGAAAACCCAGGCGGGGTCCAGCGGGCCCCAAGGCCCCCAAGTTAGCCCCTTCCCTGCCCCGGGATCCTCCTCTGCAGGACCCGGGGCTGAATGATCTAGCAAAGCACCAGCCTCAAAAGACAAGGCCGGCGCAGTCTTGTAAGCCGAACGGAAGGGGGTCCACTGGACAGACCCAGTGGCTTTGGCAGGGAGACTAGACTCGAATGCCTCCGTAGCTACACCGAAAGGGGTATCCCCAAGACTGCCCGAGCCTCAAGACCATCTCAACCCTGCTCTGGCTCCGAAACCCTCAGACGCTTCGGGGCCGGAAGCGGGGGGGGGTGGGGGGCTACCAAAACGAAGCACAGGAGGGGAAGGATGAGAAGGGGCAGACTGAACCACGGTCGAAGTGGCCCCCACCCCCAAGTATAGGTCGCTATAAGTAAAATGGGGCAGCCACGGGGCATCCGGGTGAGCAACGAACCGAGCGCGTTGCAACATCCTAAAACGCGCATGCAATGCCTACACCACCTGTACCCTCATAAGATCATCACTAGACTGGGTAAACTGAGTCACTAACAAGCAACAGAACTCACAAGACTCAGAGTCGAAAGTCTCACCGACCCAACAGGCAGCGTGATGGACGCAAAGATAGTGAGGGTCACCCTGAGACAAGGGGACTGAACAACCCTCAAACTCGCACGAAGCGACTGGGGACCCCAGGGTCACATCCCTCAGACCCACGTGCCCCCAGGGGATTCCCAGGGCCCTGAAAGCTTAACGAGACTCACGCCAAGGTAACCCCAGGCAGGGTATTGCTAACCGGCGCCCAAAACTACCAAGCAAACTCACTAAAGCTGCACCCCAGGAACATGTATACTCACAGGGACTTAGCAGGGGGCACCACCAGAGAAGAACCATAATAGGTCAAGCACAAGTGGCCAAAAAGTAGGGAAGATCCCCCCCACAAGGCAAAAAGAAAAAGAAAACCCTGCAAGAGGACAGCGTACCCTAGAGGAACAGAGCCGGCCGCTAAATCGGTGAAAACAAGCTACGCTGCACCACACGCCCCGAACCAGTGGAAACTGCCTCTTACCCCTAAGGTAAACAAGACAGACAAAAAAACCCAAGTACCCAAAGGGAAGCCAAAAAACCGAGCAGTAAAACGGCCAGCAGAGACAGGATCCAAGGAACTTGTGGAAGGTAACCCCCAAGCCCCAAGGGCAGTACTTACAGGGGACCTAGGGAAGGGAACCTTAGGCACATGCATCCCGAGTACTGGAGAATAATTCCTGGTTCTCGCACCCCTAGAAGACAGCCTCCACACTCAAAGCACAGTGCTGAAACTATGTCTGGAGTCAGAGTACACGACCGGAGCCTCTAGCATCAGCCTAAGAACTAAAGGGGTGGATAGCCGGCGTGTGGGATCTGGGGCTCCCCCTTCCCCCTCCCAGGGAGGGGGGCGCTGCGCAGACAGCGTCGTGGTGACGTGTGACGTCATGATCGTTTGCTCGTTTCGCTTAGGGGGAGTTCTATCCACTTGTTCGGCTTTTGGCAGCAATATTTTCACCAGCATAGGGGTTTGTTTTGGGATGCTTACCTTTTTGGGTACCTGACCCGGTCGATGGCAGACAGAATGCTTCCAACCACACGGGGGTTTCTATAGGCCATTGCTCCCCTTGCCTTTTCTGAGGGGGCAAAGTTCTGGCTCGTGGTCCCCAGGAGGCCCATAGAACTTCATACACATGACCGATGCCAAAGTCTGACATTAGCATATCAGCCTAGTAAGCTCTGGGTTACAGAAGGGGCTCCCCCCAGAAAATAAAAAAATAATAACAATAAAAGATACAATGTAAAAAAAGAAAAAGTTGATAAAAAACGGTTATTACTTGCCTTCTTTAACAATTATTGAAACAGTATCAGAGCTTGATGCCCCTTGTTCATCCCACACCGTCAGTTTCCACACATAACCACCAGCTACCAAATCTGTGAACTATTCCAAATATAAATGCTATAAATTAACAGTTATTCATTGTAAAGTATAAATATTATTATTCAAATTAGTGTGAATTGAGTTTAAAGAACATAATTTCTTTTTCAGTTTTTGAAAGGAAACTTGGTTCCAAAGTCTTGTAACAGAGTGACCGATTTGTATTAAAGGAGGGCAATAATTATGTCAGTAGATATGGAGAATGTGGCAATTGTGATCAACTTAAATTTTCAACATAGCATAGAAATAAAATTCCTAGTTGTACACAAATGATGCTGTAAAAACAAGAGATAAATAGTGAGTTAGACTAAAATCCAGCTCCCTGAGCTAGCTAACCATGGAGAACAAAGGAGGAGCTGACTGGAAAGAGGGAAGGAATAGCAAGGAAACCCCAAAGGAAATCAGCACTGAGGCACCTTGAAAGAGTGCCAAAAACAACAGGCCCAAAAACAACCCAGAACATATGAGAAAAGAATGTGAAGAGCTTCCAGACACCATGATCCAGTAGAAAGACCACAGGCTGGCTAAACCTAACCACCCTGTGGACAACTGGAGACAACAAAACACTGTAACAGGAAACCAGAGACTGTGGGAGGACAAAAAAACATCTGGCCAAAGGAACAGAATGCCACCCCCAATGCCAATAACTAAAAGTGAAAGCCAAGGAAAAACCAGCGTTGAAAAAAAGCAGCGACTCCACTATACAAGGCCAGCGTAGCTGTAGAAGCCGGACAGAACGAGGCCCACTGGTCAGACCCAGAGGCTTTGGCCGGGGGAGGAGACTCAAATGCCCTTGTCGCCACACTGGAAGGGGCATCCCTCAAGGCTGCCCGCATCTCAAGACCAACTAACCCTTGCCCCGGCTCCGAAACCCTCAGATGTTTCAGGGCCGGAAGCAGGGGAGGGGGACCAGAACAAACAAAAGGAGGGAAAGGACCAGGAGGTGCGGACTGAACCATGGACGAAGCGACCCCCACCCCTAATTCCAGGTCCCTATAAGCAAAACAGGGCAGACGCGGAGCATCTAGGTGAGCAACCAACCTAGCGCGCTGCAACAACCGAAACCTAGAATGCAACCCCTGAGAAGCCTGTACCCGAAGATGATCATCCATAGATTGGGTAAATTGAGTCACCAGGCAAGGAACAATACTCTCAGGACTCAGGGTTGAAAGTGTCACCGACCCAACAGGCTGCATGACGGAGGCAAAAACAGTGAGGGTCGCCCTGAGACAAGGGGACCGAACAACCCTCAAACTCGCACGAAGCGAGGGGGGGCCCCGGGGTTACATCCATCAGACCCTAGGGGATTCCCAGGGTCCTGAGCATTTACTTGAAGAGGACTCGCGCTCAGGTAAACCCAGGCAGGGTACTGCTAACCGGCACCCAAAACTACCAAACAAATTATCTAAAGCTGAACACCAGGGACATGTATACTCACGGGGACCAAGCAGGGGGCACCACTAAGTATCAGGGTGAGGCCAAACACCAGTGGCAAGTAGGGCAGAACCCCCCACCAAGGCAAAAACAATAAGAAAAACAAAACCCCGCGTAATAGGTCACAACTAGCTGCACAGCACCCTGTGTCCCTACCAGTGCAAAAACTGCCTCTTACCCTAAGGTTAACTAGGGAAGACAAAACCCCCAAGTACCCAAAGAGTGGCCGAGAAACTGAGCAGTAAAATGGACGCACAGAGGCAGACCCCATGGAACTTGTGGAAGGTAACTCCAAGCTCCAAGGGCAGTACTTATAAGGCACCTAGAGAAGGGAACTCTAGGCGTATGCAGCCCGAGTACTGAGGAATAACTCCTGGCTCTCGCACCCCTGGAGAACAGCAGCCACACACAAGGCACAGAGCCGCAAAAATACTGGAGCCAGAGCAAACAACCGAGCCAATAGCATCAGCCTCAAGAATTGGGGTGTGGATCACCGGCGCGGTAGGTCTAGGGCTGTCCCTTCCCCCTCCTGGGGGGAAGGGGGGCTGCGCAGACAGCGGCACAACGACAAATGACGTCATAATAGCTTGCGCGTTTTTGTTTGGGGAGTTCTATCCACTTGTTCGGCTTTTGGTTGCAATTTTCACCAGAATAGGGGTTTGTTTTGGGACGCCTACCTTTCTGGGTGCCTAACCCGGTCGATGGCAGACATAGAATTCTTCCAATTACACGGGGGTTTCTATAGGCCATTGCTCCCCTTGCCTCTCTAGATGGGGCCAGGTTCTGGCTCATGGTCCCCAGTAGGCCTATAAGAACTCCATTCACATGACTGATGCCAAAGTCTGACATTAGCATATCAGCCTAGTAAGCTCCGGGAAGCCATAGGGGCTCCCCCCAGAAAACAAAAGGACAGTCTCACTGAACCTACAAAGAAAAGTTAGCATTAAAAAGAATGCAGAAAGGACAAGTGAAGCTTAACAACTGAAACAGTCTCACAGTACAGATGGGAGATTAGGGATTCACCATCTTCTTGAGGTTATCTTGAGTTGATGTCGGGGCTTTTTTAGTGTCCCCGCGGCCCGGTCCTTGATTAGGCCTCCACCCCCAGGAAGCAGCCTGTGACAGCTGACTAACTCCTAGGTACCTATTTACTGCTAGGTAACAGGGGCATAGGGTGAAAGAAACTCTGCCCATCGTTTCTCGCTGGCGCCCGGGATCGAACCCGGGACCACAGGATCACAAGTCCAGTGTGATGTCCGCTCGGCCGACCAGCTCCCGACCATGCCCTGAGCAAAAGACTAAAACTTCCTAAAACTGGTCCAGGAAAACAAATTACTGCTCACTAGCATTAAGACAGCAGGAACCTGGTAGAGCAACCAAAAAAAAAGACACTGAACCAAATTCCAGGAGAACCCTCTAGAAGGAAATGAATATTTCAAGAGGAACAATTTGTCCAAGAAAACATCGAACTAATGTATCTAATGCAAATTATTATTTTCACTCAATTTGGAACATTAGTCATCTTTACCATGAGAACAGGAGAATGGTCCGAACCATTTATAACTTTCCCAGCAGCAAGAGAGGTGGCATCTCTTTCCCACAGCCATTTTGTAACTGCAACATCATCATCCGACTTTGAGCCATCAACTTCCACAACAGACACTGGCAAGGTCACACTAAAGTCCCCACCAGCATTGGCCTTTGGAGGAACATTTTTATCTGTAAAAAGATATTGTGCTGATAGATACTTGTTTAGAAATATAATATTGTATAATCAAGAATACAATTTAAAAATACTGTGTACACCACAATTTATTTCTTCAAACATTCATCAAATTTGTAACAAGTTTAACAAATTAATTTATATACTGTATATCTACATATCATTACTAACCTTGTATTACTGTAATTGTGATATTATCGGTAGTATTCTTACTGGGATCATCACCATTCCACGCTGCTAGTCCAAATATATATTTTCCTTTGGTTAGTCCTGTAACATTGACCTTCATCTCATCAGTCTTCATAAAATGTGCAGAATTTGGACCACTGAAATGTTTATTAATAAAATTAGTATTATCTTGCCTGTATAGAGCAATAAGTTGAATTTTTAATTATAAAAATACTGTACAAATTTCAAAGTACAGGTAAATAAAAAAACCAGCATTGAATGTAACAAAATTTTCTGGGTGAGACCCGGAGGCTCCCCAGGGCTATCTGGGTTGAACTGAATGTATTAGACCCTGGTATCAGTCAAAGCAAATGGAGGTCTTAGGTCTACTGGGGTCATGAGCCAAAACCTGGCCCCCCCTCAGAAAGGCATGAGGAGCAATGACCTATAGAAACCCCTGTGTGGTTGGAAACATTCTATGTCTGCCATCGACCAGGTCAGGCACCCAGAAAGGTAGGCATCCCAAAACAAACCATATCTGGTTAAAATATTGCTACTGAAACCGAAGTGTTATGCAGAACTCCCCCAAACGAAAAACAAGCAAACGGGCATGACATCATAACCATCAACGCGCTGCTGTCTGCATAGCTCCCTGCTCCTGGGAGGAGGGAGCCCCAGACCCCTGCGCAGGCTATCCACACCGTCAGATTTGAGGCTGGATATGATCTCAAAAACCTGTGAAAAACTGCCAACCGGAGGGAGGGAGGGAGGGAGGGTTGCCGGGAAGCCTCTGGGTCTCACCCTTAAAATGGTGTTTCATTACATTCAATGCTGGTTTTCTGGGGGTAGCCCCTTCGGCTCCCTGGAGCTATTTAATTTCTCGCCAAGCGAAAGTGATAATTAACCAAAGACAAAACAAAAGGGACTTACCAGGGAGGCGGTCGCCACTCGCTCCTCAACTCAAAGTCAAGACAACTTGCTGCAACCGCCAACCCAATGCGACACATGCCCAAGTAGGGCCAGGAACACTGACTAGGTAGAAAGAGACCAGGACCCTGTTCGACCTGCGAAAACCCCGTGCCCGAATGTCAGCCCAAGACATGTTACCGAAGACAGCAACCAAAGCAAACAAACGTCATGGGCACAATGATAGACCGCAGGCTGGCTGGACCAAATGGGAAACAGGGCCAACTAAAAGCTCATCCACGGCCACTGAGGCCGTGGCGAGTAGGTAACGGCGAAGAGCCACAACTGAACACAACAAATGATGCACCCCCAACCGAACCAACCAAGCATCAACAACCCAAGGACCCCTCTGGAAAGCAGCAGTCTCATTCTTTCCGAGAAAAGAAGGAGATGGCTACAACCGAACAAACTTACCACCAGGACCAAAAGAGCAGAAACCTCTGCACCGAAGAAGAGCATGAAGCACCCCAACCCGACCCCCAGAGGCCAATGCCAACAGGAAAAAAAAAAAAGAGCCTACATAAAACAAATTTGAATGGAAGAGGCCACAACAAACCGAGGAGAAGAGAGAAAGAGAGCGCACCCGGGCCAATGACCAGGACGGCTCAAGTGGCACATGAGCAGGCCGGTGGTGAAACAATGCAGGAGACAGTTTGTGAAACAGGGCAGAAGTAACATCCATCCCAAATGCAAGATGAAGCAGCTCCGCCAACAACGCACGATATGAGTCGACAGTATTCGGCATAAGATGACGGTCCTGAAACAACCAAGACAGGAAAGACAAGACATTCCGATCCAAAACAGAAGAAAACCATCGAAGGGACAAGAAATAATGATAGGACTGCCAGGAAACTTCATATTGCCATGAAGACGAGACACGCAGGTGGGACACCATCAATGAAGCCACTTGCTCACCATACAAATAGTGGAAGACCCGCATCAGGGGAAACCAAACGCAAAGACTTGAGGAGAAGATTGAACTAGCTACGTAATGGACTGGTTAGATATGCTGAAAGAGGCGGAGCCGTGGAAGACCGCCAGGTTTGGACACCGAGCAAGAAGCGCCTGAAACCATGGTTGATTAGGCCACCAAGAGGCCAAGAGGACTACTTTTCCTTGGCAAGTCAAAAAACCAGAGTTGAATGTAATGAAACGCCATTTTCTGGTGAGACCCGGAGGTTCCCCGGAGCTGATATCCTAATGTCAAACTTTGGCATCAGTCATGTGTATGGAAATCTAGGGCCTACCGGGGACCACGGCCAGAACCTGGCCCCCTCAGAGAGGCAAGGGAAGCAATGGCCCATAGAAACCCGTGTGGTTTGAAGCATTCTATGTCTGCCATCGACCGGGTCAAGCATCCAGAAAGGTAAACATTCCAAAACAAACCATTCCAAAACAAGCAAACTCCGTCTGCTGCCTGCCCCACAGGCAGCAGATGGAGGCAAAACAGAGAGTCACCCTGAGACAAGGGGTGAGAGCAACCCTCAAACTCGCTGGAAGCGAGGGGGGGGGGCCTCTGGGGTCACATCCATCGGACCCACGCGCCCCCAGGGGTTTCCCAGGGTCCCGAGCATTTACTATAATAGGACTTGCGCTCAGGTAATACCAGGCAGGGTACTGCTAACAGGCGCCCAAAGCTACCAAACAACTTTCTAAGAGCTGAACCCCCGGGACGTGTACACTCACGGGGACCTAGCAGGGGAAACCACCAGAATAATACTCAGAACACAAGGGACACAGGGTGCAAGAACGAAGGCAGACCCCCCCACCAGGTAGATAAACAAAAATAAAAAGAAAACCCCGCAAGAGGACAGTGTACCCAAGCGGAACAGAGCCCGCCGCCATATAGGCGAAAACAGGCTGCGCAACACACTGCGCCCCACCAGTGCAAAACCACCCCTTACCCTAAGGCGAACAAGGGAGAAGAACACCCGAGCACACAAAGAGCGGCCGAAAACAAAGCCGTAAACGGCCTAGCAGGGGCAGAACCCAAGAAACTTGTGGAAGGTGGCCCCAAGCCCCAAGGGCAGTACTTACAGGGCACCTAGGGAAGGGAACCCTAGGTACATGCAGCCCGAGTACTGGAGACTCACTTCCGGCTCACTCACCACCTAGAAGACAGATACCACACTCTAGGGACAATGCTGAAACAACTAATGGAGCCGGAGCACACAACCGGTGCCTAATGCATCAGCCGAAGAACTGATGGGTGGACAGCCGGCGTGAGAGGTCTGGGGCTTGCCCTTCCCCTTCCCCCTCCCGGGGAGAGGGGAGCTGCGCAGACATCTGCTCGGTGACGTGTGACGTCATACTAGTTTGCTTGTTTTCTGTTGGGGAGTTCTATCTACTAGTTCGGCTTTTGGTAGCAACTTTAACCAGAATAGGGGTTTGTTTTGGAATGCTTACCTTTCTGGATGCTTGACCCGGTCGATGGCAGACATAGAATGCTACCAACCACACGGGGGTTTCTATAGGCCATTGCTCCCCTTGCCTCTCTGAGGGGGGCCAGGTTCTGGCCGTGGTCTCCGGTAGGCCCTAGAACTCTATACACATGACTGATGCCAAAGTCTGACATTAGCATATCAGCTCCGGGGAGCCGATGGGGCTCCCCCCAGAAAGCGAGCTAGGACCTGGAGCAACAGTGGAACCAGAGGGAAGAGGTACAGGTAACCCCACCTCGACCAGTCCTGCCTGAAGGCATTGACCCTGACGGCCTCACGGTCGGGGAAGGGCACCACATATACCGGACGACGCCTCGACCACACTGACGCAAAGAGATCTCCCTTTGGGAGCCCATACATTCGGCAGAGCCAAGACAGGCCGTCCACCAGGACGTTGGACACTCCCCGAACGTGAACGGCCAGGAGAGCCAACCCCCAAGATCTCAGCAGATGAGTCACCCGAAGTGACCAGTCCCAAACAGCCAAGGCCCACATCGGAGTCCCGAGGTTCAGACAATGAACCACTGAAGAAGAGTCCAAATGGAGCCAGATCATCGAGTAGACCAACACGATAAAATTAAGACTCCTGCACAAACCCTCGAGCAACTGCCTCATGAGCCCTCCATGAGTCATGAGCCCGGGAGCCCTCCATAAACAAACGCAGGCAGGGAAGCAGCCACAGTAGAGCTGCCGGAGGGAAAGACAAGGAAGCGGTCCAAGAGTCCCACACAAAACCTAGCCAAGACCAAACCTGAGAGGGAACCTGATTAGCCTTCCTCCAGTTCACCAGAAACCCAAACCCGGCGAGCTGGGAAAGAACCAAATCCCTGGCGAGCAGAAACGCAGACTGGCTGGGAACCCAAACCAGCCAGTTGTCAAGATAGGCCAGAACCCGAACCCCTAATAGACGCAGACAGGCCACCACGACCCAGGTAAGGTGTGTGAAAACGCGAGGTGCCAGATTCAAGATGAAAGGAAGGAAATGAAAACGGCAACATTGACGTCCCAAAACGTAACACTGACGAAACAGAGCCAGTCCCTGAACCTTGGATGAAGCGGGATGTACCAATATGCGTCCCGGAGGTCCCGGGACACCATCTAAGAGCCCAGCTCCAAGAGAAGCCAGACCTGGGACAGAGTAGTCACCCGAAAGAAGGGGCAATAGACCCAGGGGGTTCAGACGGAACAAGTTCAGAATGAACCTAAGGTCTGCACAGTCCTGTTTCGTGACTGGAAACAGACGAAAATACCCACCTGAGGAATGTTGTTGTTTTGACTAAGCCCAAGCGCACCCACTCTGAGATGACCCAACCAAGTGCAGGAGAAGAGGCCTGCCCCGCCAGCCCCAAACTCCCCGAAGGAGGGGGGCCACCCAACGCCACCGCAGGCCATTCGAAATGACCTGAAAGGCCCACAAATTGTGAGACCAGGCGTAAGCAGAGCGAGCCTCCTCCCCCATCGCCTTGTCAATGAGACGAATAGCAAAAGGACAGACGCCCCTTACGTGAACCCGACCTTCGAACAGATCGATCACCTCGTCGACCAGATGAAGATAGTTCCAAAAGCTGCGCCAGCCCCGAAGCTAGCACCACTAGCCTATCACGAGTGCAATAGTCTAAATATTGGAAAAATAATTAAAACTAAATGGGTAGAACACCTGGAGAGAAATGATATAATATCAGACAGACAGTATGGTTTTCGATCTGGAAGATCCTGTGTATCGAATTTACTCAGTTTCTATGATCGAGCAACAGAGATATTACAGGAAAGAGATGGTTGGGTTGACTGCATCTATCTGGACCTAAAAAAGGCTTTCGACAAAGTTCCACATAAGAGGTTGTTCTAGAAACTGGAAAATATTGGAGAAGTGACAGATAAGCTTCTAAGATGGATGAAAAATTTTCTGACTGATAGAAAAATGAGGGCAGTGATCAGAGACAATGCATCAGACTGGAGAAATGTCAAGTGGAGTACCACAGGGTTCAGTTCTTGCACCAGTGAAGTTTATTGTCTACATAAATGATCTACCAGTTGGTATACAGAATTATATGAACAAGTTTGCTGCTGATGCTAAGATAATAGGAAGGATAAGAAACTTAGATGATTGTCATACCCTTCAAGATGACTTGGACAAAATAAGTATATGGAGCACCACTTGGCAAATGTAATTTAATGTTAATAAATGCCATGTTATGGAATGTGGAATACGAGAACATAGACCCCACACAACCTATATATTATGTGAGAAATCGTTAAAGAATTCTGATAAAGAAAGAGATCTAGGGGTGGTTCTAGACGCGAGGAGCCTATGCCACACTTATTATATTGTGCGAGGAGCCTATGCCACGCTTTCTAACTTCAGAATTGCTTTTAAATACATAGATGGCGATATACTAAAGAAATTGTTCACAACTTTTGTTAGGCCAAAGCTAGAATATGCAGAGGTTGTGTGGTGCCCATATCTTAAGAAGCACATCAACAAACTGGAAAAGGTGCAAAGACATGCTACTAAGTGGCTCTCAGAACTGAAGGGCAAGAGCTACGAGGAGAGGTTAGAGGCATTAAATATGCCAAAACTAGAAGACAGAAGAAAAAGAGGTGATATGATCACTACATACAAAATAGTAACAGGAATTGATAAAATCGATAGGGAAGATTTCCTGAGACCTGGAACTTTAAGAACAAGAGGTCATAGATTTAAACTAGCTAAACACAGATGCCGAAGAAATATAAGAAAATTTACTTTCGCAAACAGTGGTAGACAGTTGGAACAAGTTAGGTGAGGTGGTGGTGGAGGCCAAGATCGTCAGTAGTTTCAAAGCGTTATATGACAAAGAGTGCTGGGAAAACGGGACACCACGAGCGTAGCTCTCATCCTGTAACTACACTTAGGTAATTACACTTGGGTAATTACGATGGGAGGAATCCCGAGCCCTGGCACAACCCTTCTGGGAAGACTCCCCAAGGGCTCCCTCGAGAACCAACAATTCCGATATTATACGACAACTGGAAGAAGCTGCCTGTAGATACTGTCCAACCACAGAGTCTGCATGCAGCAAGGAACAAAAAGGTGACGAAAACCTAAGAGCCAGGGGGCCCAAGCAGATTCCAAGGATGTCACGAGCACTGCCTGCCGACACAAAACGAGAAGAAAAAAACAGAGACACGGCTTCCCACAGGATCAGCGCAAACAGCTTCAACAGGGCAGACAACGCACGCGCTGCCGAGACCAATATGAGGGATATGGAGTTCACCAGCTAAATCTTCTACTCGAGTGTGGGGTGTGTGAGCATTGCCGTGCACTCATGTAAGTAAATGGCCGTGCACTCGGTCTAGACTTTGTAATCCGTACACGAGACATCAAGTGCTTAAGCTCTGAATGCCATCAGCATTCCAAATACTGTATGTTGCAATAGCCATTGCAATGCATTTGTAGAAATAGTTATAGAGGGTAGCAGTTTATACTGTAAGATTGAGGGAGATTAATGGAGCGAGAGGGAAGCAGTGAGGTACCAGCCACCCGAGCCGTTCCCATGGCAACCAAGCTGATGCCATGATGTCACCTCAGCGTGTCAACCAAGGAGGAGCCATGATTGGCTAAGGGCCTTTGGCCAAAGTGTGCTACTATGATAGGCTTGTTTGAGGTGGGACCAGTAGGCCAGCATCTTCCCGCCCTGGTTCCAAGACGCCATTCTGCATATAGCTACTGCTTATGATTGACGTAATCTTTGCTGAGTCGGGCCAGCTAAGTAAAATGCACTGTCGGCAGTCGCATCTAAGTACTCTTTGTACCCTCGTGATATCGACATGTGTCCCTAAGGAATGAGCAGAATCCAGGAACTCGTCGTATCTGTGTGTATTACAGGAAAGTGTACAAGACTGGAAAAGTAGCAGTGGGAAAACCACACACGCAGGAGTAACAGACTGTGTCATGAATCCCCATCTCCAGTCATCATTAGATCTCCTACTTAAGTCACCTAGCAGTTGAGATACTAGGGAATAACTTGCTCGTGTTCACGGCAGTTTTCCCTAGAAATTCGTGGGAATTTCGGTCCAAGTGTGGGACATTGTCGTTCGCCACGTTTGCAGCCATTTTGGAGCAAGCACATTGCTTCGCCCTGAGGGAGGGAGGGACGAAGCCAGCAAGTGAGGGTGGGTACTAGCTGTACTGAGCCCTGTGTACTCTATCCAAGGCCACTCATAGCCTAGCCACACTACCTTGGGAGGCTGATCACCGCTGATCTTCGAGACTACAGTGCTTCAGTCTTCATGTTTACATGGGAAAGTGTGTCTGTAGGCTGGCCTGTATTATTGAGTGAATACCCTCTTGTGTGTACTGGAGATTATCTCTAACCCTGCTTCATCTAAGATGGGTCCACCAGCATTGTCACTTTAGCACCTGATAGGTGAATAGAAACTGCAGAAGATTTCACCTATAAAATGTCCTGACAGTCAAGGAAGGCCTTGAATTGAGTGTGTGTGTACAGACGTGTGTGTGTTTGGTCACACAGGAAACAATGAGGTTTGCATATTGTGTAGGTAATCCTGTACAACTCAGGTGAAATCTTGTTACAAATGTTACATACAATGCCTACAACACTCTTCCAAAGTGGCTTAAAGCAGCCTCCACACTCCTCCATGCTGGGTTTGTGGTGTTATAATATTATAAATATATTCATATAATATTATATGTATGTATATATAATATGTATACAGTATATTTATAATATTACATATGTTTATTTGTTCATGTTTATGTGGGATGTGGGGGTACTTATCGCCTTGTGGAGAAATATGATCCTCTTGGGGACCGTATAGTTGACCGTTATTTGTCCCAGGTCGGGGGTATGATGCCACCGGTTGCCAGTTACTTGATTTATACACTGATTATTTACATGTAATACTCTAAGGGATTTTCTGCTTTCTTCCAGCTTGCAATATTATTCACTTACTCTATTACTAGTTCCTAGATCCACTTTCCCGTATTACAATATATATTGCCAGTATATTATCATTGAGGGAGTATACTATCACTGAGGAACGTCCCTTACACTGTGTAGGCCTTGTGGCTGTGGTGTAAACAGCCTAGTGTGATGCCTCCTGTCACAACCCTACATTTATACTTTTTCTATGTACAATTCTCTGACACTATGCACTAATTTATGTGTTGTGTTACACGTTCCACTTCACTGTTCAATGTATCACTGTTCGCTATATTTGATATATATACCGCCTATATGCCTGTACACACGAGCCTGGTGGCACTGGCTCACCATGTGGTCCCACGTTTATTCTGTATTTAACTCAAAGTTCCATTGTTAATTTCTGTATTCAACTTTCCTACGGGTCACTATGCACTTGGTGATTACTGTGGGCCGTAATCCATGGTTGTAATCCTAAAAAAGCCCGGTTTATTTCAGTGTTTTCACGGAGTGTGATGACGACACATCCGTTACCTGACCCCAAGGGCAGGGTAAATGCCGAGCAGCAAGAACTCCTATCGGAAATAGTTTCCCAAACGCACCAGGGAAGATAACCCTAACACGCAAGGGCAGTACTCACAAGGTGACAAGGGAAGGAAGCCCCTAAGTGCATGCAGCCCTAGCACTGAAGAGGGGGTTGGCCACCTGGCCACCACACACAACAACACTGCAGAGGTCTCCACAAAGGCAAACAATGCTTTGGAAACAGAGGCCAGCAAAGATGTCCACCCCAGACCACATTAGCTAACGAACTGGATGACCGAGTAGCTGCGGCGCGGGGAGATCCGTGGCTCTCCCTCTCAGTGAGGGGAGGGGAGGGCTGTACGGATGAGCAGCACGGCAGTAGAGTGTGATGTATGCTTGCTTGCTTGTTTCCTTGGGATTGAAAACAGTTCTACCTCTCTGTTCAGCTTTTAGTTGCTAGTTTCTTACCATGTGGGGTTTGTTTTGTTATGCCTACCTTTCTGGGTGCCTAACCCCGGTCGATGGCAGATAAGGAAAACCCCCCAACTACAAGGGGGGGGAGGATCCAGGGCCATTGCTCCCTGCAACCTCTCTGAAGGGGCCAGGTTCTGGCTCGTAGTCCCTGGTTGGTCAAACTCCATCTTGAGGTTATCTTGAGAGGATTTCGGGGCTTTAGTGTCCCCGTGGCCCGGTCCTCGACCAGGCTTCCACCCCCAGGAAGCAGCCCGTGACAGCTGACTAACACCCAGGTACCTATTTTACTGCTAGGTAACAGGGGCATTGGGTGAAAGAAACTCTGCCCATTGTTTCTCGCCGGCGCCTGGGATCGAACCCAGGACCACAAGTCCAGTGTGCTGTCCGCTCGGCCGACTGGCTCCCAAGACTAATGCCCTGATCTAATATATCACACATTAGCCCGATAGCTCCAGGGAGTCGTAGGGGCTCCCCACAGAAAAGACATGTACCATATCTTTCACACTACATACTGCAGCATATCTCCCTATACATTTACCATACCTTCCACACTACATACTGCAACATAACTCCCTACATATTTACCATACATTCCACACCACGTGCTGCAGAACCTGTTCACTGCAGTTTTCCCCACACACAACCAGCGGAAAAATATCTACAACAGAACTCCATTATTTCATACTTTCCCTCAAGTTATAATTTAACAGTGTCAGGCATTCATTGCTCTAGTTACCTTCTAAATGCTTAAATATGTCTGTGTTTATGATGTGTACATATCCCATGCACTACAAGTAAAAACTTCTGAACATTATGACATACCTGAACTGTTTCCAGAGCCAATGAGTTGTGATTGTAGCATCTGTACTATGGCTTCCATCTAGAAGTACTGTTGTGTTCGGAAGTACAATCTGTATATCTTCCCCGGCATTTGCTGAGGGATGTGATGTGTTAGTTATATGATATGCCAAACATAAATTTCTGTGCACATTCTAAATTTAAATCTCCTGATATTATTTCATGTTTCATATTTTTATTAGTGGCAATAAGCTCTCCTTGATAATATTTGCACCAAGAAAAATATATCTGTGCAACTATAATACTCTCAAAGAATGAAAACAGTTTATATCATACATACAATGGCATCTTGATTAACGAGTTTAATCCGTTCTGGCACCGAGTTCGTTATGTGGAAAACTCGTCTTAAGAAGCAAATTTCCCCATTTAAAATAAAGGAGAAAAATAAAATCCATTCCACTCCCAAAAACATCCATACTTGTATGACATTTTATAATGTAAATATAATACTGCACATGTAATTTTAAATGTTTTGTTGTATTGTTTTCATGTTTATTTTACCTTATGAAGAGTCATTGCTGGCTTGAGGGAGACGATGGGGAGATGGGAAGGAGGAGAGGGGTTATGGTGTGGAAGGAGAATCCACCTCTGAGTCAGGGGGCCTCTCTCTTCTTGGGAATTTCACCCCACTGAGGCCGGGTTGTGGTTCACTTTCATTTGCTGGTCTTTACTTTTGCAAAAAACAAGTCTATTGACAATTGCTTTTGTCTTTGTTTTAGGGTGTCCCTAAAATGAGACAGCAAATTGTCATTAACCCTTAAACTGCACAACGCGCCTGCAGGCTCACGTCTGGTTTGCGCAACGCACCTCCGGGTATTTGTATTTTTCACGTTCCATTTAAAACTCCCACGGCTACATGGGGTTCACATCAGCTTCCTCAGGGCTCTTGTAAACAGACGCCATCATTAAAAAAAATCGTGGTCCACATTCCCGGGTGTGGGAGCCTCAGTAGTGTGTGAGTAACCAAGGCTGGCGCTCGCAGCATGAGCGCACAGCACTGCTGTTCAGCGTGTGACCACAGCATCGCCTAATAATGTCAAAATATATATATAACTTGTATTATTTAGCCATGATAGTGTTATAGAAGAGCCTGAGTGTGATAATGACTGGGTACAATGTTCAAATATCAGTGATTCAATGCTGTTCACGATGTTCACAGCGCTAGCCACAGCACCACAGCATTATTTCGTCCATCTAGGAATCTTCAAATGACTTCTTAGGTTCCTTTTCAAAATAAATGTGTGGTCAATTATTCATTTACAGGAATTAGTGACCAGGATTGTGATATTACAGGATTGTGGTTATAATTAGCGTTGTGCGTAGTATTGTGGAACGAGGAATTTTGGTGAGGGAGGGAGGGAGAGAATTGAGGTAGCCTGTAATTACCTAAGTGTAGTTACAGGATGAGAGCTACACTCGTGGTGTCCCGTCTTCCCAGCACTCTTTGTCATATAACGCTTTGAAACTACTGACGGTCTTGGCCTCCACCACCTTCTCCACTAACTTTTTCCAACCGTCTACCACTCTGTTTGCAAAAGTGAATTTTCTTATATTTCTTCGACATCTGTGTTTAGCTAGTTTATATCTATGACCTCTTGTTCTTAAAGTTCCAGGTCTCAGGAAATCTTCCCTATCGATTTTATCAATTCCTGTTACTATTTTGTATGTAGTGATCATATCATCTCTTTTTCTTCTGTCTTCTAGTTTTGGCATATTTAATGCCTCTAACCTCTCCTCGTAGCTCTTGCCCTTCAGTTCTGGGAGCCACTTAGTAGCATGTCTTTGCACCTTTTCCAGTTTGTTGATGTGCTTCTTAAGATATGGGCACCACACAACTGCTGCATATTCTAGCTTTGGCCTAACAAAAGTCGTGAACAATTTCTTTAGTATATCGCCATCCATGTATTTAAAAGCAATTCTGAAGTTAGAAAGCGTGGCATAGGCTCCTCGCACAATATTCTTTTTGTGGTCCTCAGGTGATAGTTTTCTATCTAGAACCACCCCTAGATCTCTTTCTTTATCAGACTTCTTTAAAGATTTCTCACATAATATGTGGGTTGTGTGGGGTCTATGTTCTCCTATTCCACATGTGTGTGTGTGTGTGTGTGTGTGTGTAATTACCTAAGTGTAATTACCTAAGTGTAGTTACAGGATGAGAGCTACGCTCGTGGTGTCCTGTCTTCCCAGCACTCTTTGTCATATAACGCTTTGAAACTACTGACGGTCTTGGCCTCCACCACCTTCTCACTTAACTTGTTCCAACCGTCTACCACTCTATTTGCGAAGGTGAATTTTCTTATATTTCTTCGGCATCTGTGTTTAGCTAGTTTAAATCTATGACCTCTTGTTCTTGAAGTTCCAGGTCTCAGGAAGTCTTCCCTGTCGATTTTGTCAATTCCTGTTACTATTTTGTATGTAGTGATTATATCACCTCTTTTTCTTCTGTCTTCTAGTTTTGGCATATTTAATGCTTCTAACCTCTCCTCGTAGCTCTTGCCCTTCAGTTCTGGGAGCCACTTAGTAGCATGTCTTTGCACCTTTTCCAGTTTGTTGATGTGCTTCTTAAGATATGGGCACCACACAACAGCTGCATATTCTAGCTTTGGCCTAACAAAAGTCATGAACAATTTCTTTAGTATATCGCCATCCATGTATTTAAATGCAATTCTGAAGTTAGAAAGCATAGCATAGGCTCCTTGCACAATATTCTTTATGTGGTCCTCAGGTGATAGTTTTCTATCTAGAACCACTCCTAGATCTCTTTCTTTATCAGAATTCTTTAAAGATTTCTCACATAATATATAGGTTGTGTGGGGTCTATGTTCTCCTATTCCACATTCCATAACATGACATTTATTAACATTAAATTCCATTTGCCAAGTGGTGCTCCATATACTTATTTTGTCCAGGTCTTTTTGAAGGGCATGACAGTCATCTAAATTTCTTATCCTTCCTATTATCTTAGCATCATCAGCAAACATGTTCATATAATTCTGTATACCAACTGGTAGATCATTTATGTACACAATAAACATCACTGGTGCAAGAACTGAACCCTGTGGTACTCCACTTGTGACATTTCTCCATTCTGATACATTGCCTCTGATTACTGCCCTCATTTTTCTATCAGTCAGAAAATTTTTCATCCATGATAGAAGCTTACCTGTCACCCCTCCAATATTTTCCAGTTTCCAGAACAACCTCTTATGTGGAACTCTGTCGAAAGCCTTTTTTAGGTCCAGATAGATGCAGTCAACCCAACCATCTCTTTCCTGTAATATCTCTGTGGCTCGATCATAGAAACTGAGTAAATTCGATACACAGGATCTTCCAGATCGAAAACCATACTGTCTGTCTGATATTATATCATTTCTCTCTAGGTGTTCTACCCATTTAGTTTTGATTAGTTTTTCCAATACTTTCACTATTACACTTGTCAATGATACAGGTCTATAATTGAGGGGGTCTTCCCTGCTGCCACTTTTGTAGATTGGAACTATGTTAGCCTGTTTCCACCCGTCTGCTACGATTCCTGTACACAGGGATGCCTGAAAGATCAGGTGAAGTGGAATGCTGAGCTCAGATGCACATTCTCTCAGAACCCATGGTGAAACGCCATCTGGGCCAGCTGCTTTGTTCTTACCGAGCTCCTTGAGCATTTTTTCCACTTCGTCTCTAGACACCTCTATGTGTTCTATGTTGTTCTCTGGAATTCTTATTGTATCTGGTTCCCTAAAGATTTCATTTTGTACAAACACACTTTGGAACTTTTCGTTTAGTGTTTCACACATTTCCTTTTCATCTTCCGTGAATCTATTTCCCATTTTCAACCTCTGAATATTATCCTTTACCTGCAATTTGTTGTTTATGAATTTATAGAATAGACCTGGTTCTGTTTTACATTTGTCCGCAATCCCTTTTTCAAAATTTCTTTCTGCCTCTCTCCTCACTGCCGTGTAGTTGTTTCTCGCATCTTTGTATCGCTGGTATGTTTGGGGGTTCGGCCTCTTCCTGTATTGATTCCATTTTTGTGTCTTTCGGTCTCTAGCCCTCTCGCAATTTCTATTGAACCAATCCTGTTTCCTAGTTCTGCATCTCTGTTTTGGTATAAATTTTTTTGTGCCTTTATCATATATTTCACAAAACTTGCCATACATCTCATTCACTTCCTTGCCTAGCATCAAGTCTGTCCAATTATACTCACTAAAAAAATTTCTAAGGTCACCATAATGTCCTCTCCTGAAGTCTGGTTTTTCAACTGCTTCAACCTCCTTATTTTCTTCCAGCTTATAACGCATTGCATACTTTATTCCCAAAAAGACATGGTCACTTTTACCCAAGGGAGGAAGGTACTGAATGTCAAATATCTCTTCCTCCTTCCTGGTAAATATCAAATCTAGCATGGAGGGAACGTCCCCTTCCCTCATCCTCGTAGCTTGTTTAACATGTTGATACAAGAATGTTTCCAGGATGAGGTCTACAAATTTACAGGTCCAAAAATCTTCTGTTTTAGCTTCATATGCTTCCCAGTCTATGGATTTCAAGTTGAAGTCACCGACTATCAACAGTCGTGATCTATCGTTATCCGCTCTCGCTATAATCTCTCTCATTATTGTTATAAGACCTTCACGTTTACTATCTAGCTCCTCCTTTGACCATGTGCTGCTTGGCGGTGGACTATATGCATTTATCATCATTAGTTTATCATCCTCATAGCAGATCTCTAGTGCTATTATGTCAACTTCTTGTGGATTGGCAGTCATTATTTCCTTCACCTTTAGGTGTTCTTTTACCAGCACAGCAACGCCACCGCCTTTCCTAATTTTTCTGTCCCGTCTCCAAATTGAGTAGCCCCTTGGGAATATGACCTCATTTAAAATTACATCTTCAAGTTTTGTCTCCGTGAGTGCAACAATGTCTGGTGTCTGCAGCTGTATTACATCACTTAACTCCAGTATCTTCGATCTCACTCCATCTATGTTGGTGTATGCAATCTTCAGGAACTTGTTCCCCCTCTCCTTATTCTTCACTCCCCCTCTCTCTATTGATTTTGTTGGTTTGCCTTTATGTACCACT